GCCCCCATGACAACTACAGACAGAAACCTCGCAGTCATGCAGACCAGCAGAGCCACAAATCAGTAAATAAAACTGTAACTGAAAAAAGTCATGCTAGGGAAACTGGACAGCTACATGGAAAAGAATGAAATTAGAACATTCTCTAACACTAAACAAAAATAAACTCAAAAGGGAAAAAGACCTATTAATAAATGTAAGACTGAACACTAACTATAAAACTCCTAGAGGAAAATACGAGCAGAATGCTCTTTGACATAAATCACAGCAATATTTTTTTGGATCTGTCTCCTAGAGTACTGGAAATAAAAACAAAAAGAAACAAATAGAACCTAATTAAACTTACAAGCTTTTGTACAACAAAGGAAACCATAAACAAAACAAAAAGACAACCTACAGAAGGAGAGAAAATATTTGCAGATGATGCAACCAACAGGGATTAATCTCCAAAATATACAAACCGCTCTATACCACTCAATATCACAAAAACAAACAACCTAATGAAAATATGGGCAGAAAATATAAACAGACATTTCTCCAAAGACAGACAGGTGGCTAAAAGCCCACATGAAAAGATGCTCAACATCTCTAATTATTAGAGAAATGCACATCAAAACTCTAATGAGGTGTCACCTCACACCAGTCAGAAAGGCCATATTAAAAAGTCTACAGATAATAAACGCTGAAGAGGGTGTGGAGAAAAGGGAACCCTCTACTCTGTTGGTGGGAATATAATTGGTACAGTCATTATGGAGAATAGTATGAAGATTCCTTTAAAAACTAAAACTAGAGTTACCACTTGGGCCACTGATGTCCCTTCTTGAGTATATATATGGAAAAGATGAAAACTAATTAAAAAAGATACATGCACTCAATGTTTACTGCTGCACTCCTTATAGTAGCCAAGACATGGAAACAACCTAAATGTCCATTAACAGATGAGTGGATAAAGATGTGGTACGTATATATAATGGAATATTACTCAGCCATGAAAAAGAAACAATGCCATTTGCAGCAACATGGATAGACCTAGAGAGTGTCATACTAAGTGAAGTTAAGTCAGAGACAAATATTATAAGATGTCACTTATATGTGGAATCTAAAATATGACCCAAGTGAACTTATAAAACAGAACAGAATCACAGACATAGAAAACAAACTAATGGCTACCACAAGAGAGAGGAGTGGCGAGGGATAAATTAGGAAGTTGGGAGTAATATATACATGCTACTATATATAAAATAATCCACGAGGACCTACTGTATGGGACAGGGAACCATGCTCAATATTTTGTAATAACCTACAATGGAAAAGAATCTGAAAAAGAAAATATATATATAAAACTGAATCATTCTGCTGTACACTTGGATCTAACATGATACTGTAAATCAATTTAACTTCAATTAAAAAAAATAAAATTTTAAAAAGTCTACTAATCAGTAACAGCAAATAAGCCAGAGAAAGGGGCTTCACAGCAAACGGGTGTGACTTGCCCAACTGCAGGGCTCCCTTCATGCCAGGCAGCTCTCCGTTCTTGCCAAGGGCTTGGCTGTAGGCTGTGGAGAGCTGATGATAATCAAGACCTTGCCACCTCCTTCCCCCTCTTTCCACTCTTTCCTCCTACACTTCCCCTATATGGACGATACGACCCAGCAGTTCCACTCCTAGGTAAACATCCGAGAGAACTGAAGGAGGGATTCACAGAGACACGTGTGTACCAGTGCTCATGGCCACTGTGCACTGCAGTCAAGAGATGGAAACAACCCGAATGGCCTTCAATAGATGGAAGGACAACAAAATGCAGTATATACTAAGAGTGAGCATCCTTCAGCCTTAAAAAGGAACGAGCTTCTGACTCACGCTGCAGCATGGACAAACTCTGACAATATTATGCTGAGTGAAGTAAGCCAGACACAAAGGACAGATGTCACACGAATCTGCTTACACGAGGCATTCAGAGACACAGAGCAGAACAGGAGACACCAGGGGCTGGCAGGGTGAAGGAATGGGGAGCAGTGGTTTACTGGGTATAGTTTCAGTGTAGACTGATGAAAATGTTCTGGAAATGGATAATCATGATGGTTGCACAACACTGTGAATTGTATACTTAAAATCATTAACACAGCAAATTTTATTTTATGTGCATTTAAACACAATTTTAAAAAATCACCTCTATGTTAAAAAAAATACAAAAACAAAAAGCTCTGCAGGTGTTGCTCCTTAACACATGCACGCTCTCCCACTGCCAGACCTCAGCACAGCCGCCTCTGCTGGCTGCCGACCTTCTCCTCTCCCAAGCTCCCCACTTGTGTCCTGGCCCACACCTGCTCACTCGGGGCTCAGCTTAGTGGTCCCCGCTCTCGCAGCAGAGGCTGGGCTAGTTACCGCATGTTTAAGTTCCCACAGCAAAATGCATTTTATCCTTATAACATTACCATGCTATTATAATGTTAATATTTAGTTATATCTTTTCCCTGCCAGACTGTGCACTCATTTAAGAATAAGACCATGTGACTTTCCTGGCAGTCCAGTGGTTAAGACTCTGCGCTCCCAGCTCAGGGGGTACAGGTTTGATCCCAGGTCAGGGAACTGAGATCCTACATGCTTCATGGTGTAGCCAATCAAAGGGAAAAAAAAGAACAGAACTGTGTCTTTCACTTCTGAATTGAGGCAGTAGGTGAGTAGTTAAGAGCATGGCTTCTAGCATCAGAATGCTGGGATTCAAATTCTAGCTTTGCTCCCCATTAGCTGAGTATCTTGGTAAGTGACCTAAGCATTCTGTGCTTTGGTTTCACACTCTGTAAAATGAAGATGAGATTAATGCCTATCCCAGTAAATTACAGAGAAGATTAAATGAATTAATACACATAAAGTATTCAGAAGACATCTTAATGCATAGCAAACACTTAATAAATATTAACCACAATGGTAATAGGTACTGAATGTTTGCTGAATGAGTAAGTGAATGAATGAATGAACAAGTATGATCCTGCTCTAAGTAGCTCATAGCCTTGTAGGAAAGATGACCCAAACCATAGTAAAATTTAGTGGAACAGGGTTATAATAGGAGTGTCTATGAAGCACTGTGGGGGAAGAAATTGCAGGAGATTTCTAAGGGAAAATTTAATTGAGTTTGGAAGAACTAGGAATTTCCCAACTAAAAGGGTTAGAGTTATATATACCAAGTACATTTATTCAATAAATATTTGTTGGGTGACCATTATATTCTAGACACCAGGTGAATTTCTAGGGGTACATGGTGAACGAACATAGTACTAATCTGTTGCAGAGATAATAGCACAAAGTGAGAATCAGTGACATGAGGAGAAGGGGATGAGTTTAGTATGGCTGAGGCAGATGTATAGAAAGAAACAGGGGAGAGATGAGGCTCGTGAGGAATATTCATTAGGTCTGTAAAGAGCCTCAAACTAAAATATTAAAAAATACAAATGCAACACTTACTATTAGGCTGAAACGAAACTGGCATTTTTGTAGGTCAACAAAACAGAAAAAATCAGCAATTTCGTATAGCTCAACCTACCAGGTCGTAAGTACCGAATAAATATGAATTCAGTTAACAAGTTTGGATGGATTCTGTAAGTAATCAGGAACAAATCACTTTTAGTAGAGGAAATGAAGTAATCTGAAGTCTGTTTTAATAGTAGTATCTCTAACAGTAACATCTGTAATCTATATCAACCCCTTCTACAGGTCAAGACCCCACGTATATATAAAGATACTTCCACACATGCACACCAGTCAGTCCTAAAGGAAATCAATCCTGAATATTCATTGGAAGGACTGATGCTGAAGCTGAAGTTCCAATACTCTGGCCACCTGATGCGAAGAAGTGACTCATTGGAAAAGACCCTGATGCTGGAAAAGATTGAAGGCAGGAGGAGAAGGGGACGACAGAGGATGAGATGGTTGGATGGCATCATCAACTCAATGGACATGAGTTTGAGCAAGCTCCAGGAGATGGAGAAGGACAGGGAAGCCTGGTGTGCTGCAGTCCACGGGGTCTCAGAATTGGACACAACTTGAGTGGCTGAACAACAACGCAAGCATACAGACACAGACACACACAGGGTCACCGTTAATCCTCACACTGGCCCCTGTCTTAGTCCTCACATCTCACAGAGGGGAACACTGAGGTTCAGAGAGGTGGGGTGAGCAAAGCTCAGGACAGTAAGGAAGAGAGCCTGGGTCTGTGTGCAGGTGTGCCAAACTCCCAATCAGAGGTCCTTCTGCCTCACCCGGCTGCAAGCTCTCAAAGGACTGTGCTGGAGGCAGAACCCAGGATGGACTAACGAGAGAGGGGCCCGCCAGGAAACTGGCTGACTGGACAACTCTGAGATGAGATGACACGCCTGCTTGCGTATCAGTGTCATATTTCTAGAACTGAGTATATAATCCATTAAGTTCAGAATCTAAGATGACGCATTGCACCAGGCTGTATTTTAACTTGCCATAAACAGAATAATATATTCCCTGAATAAACCTGCACAAAGTTTAACAGAAATAGGAAACTGATAGCAAACATGGGATAGAGTCAGTAGAGACAGCTCAGCCTCTCCCCATCCAGTTCTAAAATGGGAAACCAGAGCCCAAAACATTAGAGGACTTATTTAAAAAATGTCACTGGGGCTAGAACCAAGTCTGCTGGCTTAATTAAGTAGTTAATTCCCTACCATCCGCTCATGCCACCCTGCCAGGTTCTCACTGTAGTAAATAAATTAAACCAAAGTAGGGCATGAACAAATTTAAACCCATAAGTTAAAATTTAAAATTTTCTTAAACTTGTAGATTTTGACAAGAACTCAGCTGACAGTACCTTCTCCATGCTCAATTAATGACAAATTAGTTCCTGTTACCAGCTATAAAGGGGTGGCCCATCCGTGACAGCATGACTGGCGGGTTATCAGTGCATTTGCTTTAAAAAAAAAAAAAAAAGGTGAGAAATACTAAGACCTCAGTCAGAAACGTAACTGAGAGCAGAATACCTTGGTCTTGTATGACACAGTCTGTCGTGACCAGGGGCGGGATCTGGCCTCTGGCGTTGGTGGCATAAGCTTGTCCCACTCTGCTGGCTCGGTCACTCTCGATCACCTGGATCTGATAGTAAGAGATCAAGGGCACAGTAAAGTCAGTTTAGACTTCTCAACATTTCCCTCTCCTTACACACACACGCACACACACAGGCATTTTCTAAATCCTTTCAGCTGATTTCAAACCAAACTCTCATTGAGAATCCATCATATCTTCAGCCTCACTTTTGTTTACTTTCACAACCTTAAGCCACTAGCCTCCAAATTCTATTCTGTAATACTCTTGGGCTCCAACTCTTATCTTTCAGGGAAATCTATTTTTATTCAATTTGTTTCTTGGGATCACAGGTAACAGTTCTTTGGGAAAGGATTCTCACTAGAAAAGAAATTGAAAATAACATTTTTTTTAAAAAAAATAAAATACTTTCTGTAGTTAAAGGAAACTCTAAAAAGCTAAAAATAAATTCAGAAGAAATTATTCACAACATATAAATTAAAGAAGCCCTGACTTTTCTCCTCAAATCCCTCTTAATCTTTAATTTGCCTTTCAAGTTTCCCCACCACATCCCTGCTCCTTGCGACTTAAGAAACAAACAATATCAAGTGTTCCCATATGGCTTTTGCCTACCATATACAGATGAGAAGAAAAGTCCCAAAGTTTTGTCCTCTAATTTGGAAACACCTTATATTTCTCTACTAAAACATTTATTGATGAAGATATAGGCACAAAATACTGTCCTGTTGTAACTTTCCAGGGACTAGTTGCAAGGAATTCTAAAAAAAACGGTCTTTCTCTTCTCCCTGCCCTCACTTCTTCCTTACAAAGTGGCAAGAAACTTAAAAAAAAAAAAGGAAGGAGTAAAAATTTAGAGGGGAAAGAGGGGAGAAATGAGATGAGCATTGAGTGGAATATTTACACTGGAGGATGTGCAATTTAAAGACACTATTAATGTGAGGGGAGAGAAGGAGGCAGAGTAGAAGGACATGGAGCTCACCTCCTCCCACACACATCAAAAATACCTCTACATGTGGGAGAATTCTCAGAGAGTCCTAACGGAAAGCTGGCAGAAGACCTCTTACACAACCAAAGCTGTAGGAACCATCCCCCTTGTAACTCGGTAGTACCAAAGGATGAGGATGGGGAGGAGCAGTCAGCACAGGCCCGGTGCCCCTGGGTGGTAAAACTGTTACTATAGGCAGATGACATGATACTCTATATGGAAAACCCTAAACACTCCATACCAACACCATGGGGGCTAACAAATGAACTCAGGAAGGCAGCAGAGTACCAGACTAACATACGGAAATCTGCTACATTTCTTTAACAATGAAACACCAGAAAGAGAAAGGGAAATGGAAAGACATCGCATCTCCTGGATTGGAAGAATTAATATTGTTAAAATGGTCATACTATCCAAGGCAATCTATAGATTTAATGTGATCCTTATCATATTGCCTATGGCATTTTTCACAGAACTAGGAGAAATAACTGTAAAATTTATATGGAACCACAATGGACCCAGAATTACCAAAGGCAATCCTGAGGAAAAAGAACAAAGCAGGAAGAGTAACTCTCTCAGACTTCAAACAACACTATGAAGCTACTATCATCAAAACAGTGTGGTACTGGCACAAAACCATACATGGATCAATGGAACAGAACAGAGCCCAGAAATAAACCCACACACCTACATTCAGTTAAATCTTCAAGAAGAGAAGCAAGAATATACAGTGAAGAATAGTCAGTCTTTTCAGAAAGTGGTGCTGAGAAAACTGGATAGCTTCATGTAAATCAATACAGTCAGCACAATTCTTCACACCACATACACAAATAAACTCAAAATAGTTTAAAGACTTAAATATAAGACATGACACCATAAGACTCCTAGAAGGAAACATAGGTAAAACATTCTCAGACACATATTGTAGCAATATTTTCTTAGCTCAATCTCACAAGGCAAGATAAATAAAAGCAAAAATAAACAAATGGGGCCTAAGCAAACTTAAGAGCTTTTGCACAACAAAGAAAACCATAAATAAAACAAAAAGACAACCTATGGACTGCAAATGATGTGACTGACAAGAGGCTAATTTCCTAAATATCCAAACAGCTCATACAGCTCAATATTAAAGAAACAGACAAACCAACCAAAAAATGGACAGAAGACCTGCATATTAATAGATAATTCTCCAAGGAAGACACACAGATGACCAACATGCACATGAAAACATGCTCAACATCACTAGTTACTTACAGAAATGCAAACCAAAACTACAGTGAGGTAAATCATCTCACACTGGTCATTATCAAAAAGTCTATATATAATAAATGCCAGGGAGGGTGTGGAGAAAAAGGAACCCTCCTACATGGTTGGTGGAAATATAACTGGTACAGCTACTATGGAAAACAGTGTGGAGGTTCCTCAAAAACTAAAAATAGAGCTACCATATGACAGGGTAATGCCACTCCTGAGTATTTATATCTGGAAAAGATAAAAACGAATTTAAAAAGATACAATGCACCCCAATGTTCATAGCAGCACTACTTACAATAGCTAAGACTACTGGAAACAATCTAAGTGTCTACAAGCAGATGAATGGATAAAGAAGATCCTGTACATACATATATAACAGAATATTATTCAGCCATAAAAAAGAATGAGACATTGCCATTTGCAGCAACGTGGACAGACGTGGGAGATCATCATACTGAGTGAAGTAAGACAGAAAGACAAACATGTGGTATCACTTAAACACGGAATCTAAAAAATAATACAAATGATTTACAAAGCAGAAACAAACTAACAGACACAGAAGACAAATTTATGGCTACCAAAGGGGAAAGGGAAGAAATAAATTGGGAGTCTGGGATTAACATATATACATCATTATGTATAAAATAGATAAACAACAGGATTTACTGTATAGCACAGGGAACTGTATTCAATGGGAAAAGAATCTGAAAAATATGTGTAAGTGAATCACTCTGCTAAATATTTGAAACGCAATATTGCAAACCAACTATATTTCAATTAAAAAAAACTACTACTAATACAAAAGCTGTCCTTCCCTGAACTCTGAAGCATATTACCTGCTCCATTTCCCTTCCATCTAGCCCACTCCATACCCCAGGTGGCACTGATATCATTGGTTTCTACAACATATCAGAGAGATTTAGCCTGCTTTTAAATCCACACATTTCTCTTCAATTTCATAGGATTTAAACTCTTACTCAATTAAGGGTACTGAATATGCTCCAAACGCAACTACTGTAAGACACAAATGAGACTAAAAGCTACCATGGGCAAAGAAAAGAAGCAAAGAGAAAAATCAACCCCCTGTAATTACACTCTATATTTCAACCACAGGGGTCATCTTGTTTCTTCAAAGCTGGAGTAGCTTTTCTACTATCAACATTTACTGTCATCATTTCAACCAATGAAGTGTCAAATATGAAAGTGAGGTAAAAACCGCAATAATCTATATATTGAACATAGATAGCTCTCAGTCTCAAAACAGACTATGCTTCCAGAAAGTTTGTTTTAAATTAGCCATTTGCAACTTACAAAGCACTGCCTCCAAAGAAACAAGGACAAGTGGTAATTATACACTTCTAAATAAATATACATCTTTGCTAGAATCCTACAAAGAGATCTAGAATACTACAAAGAAAATAAGAAATATAAGAGTTCTAGTAATTTTTAAATATATAGTTATTATTGGATTAAGCAATGGTTTCTTTCTTTCTGTTAGGAGTTGTTTTTTTTTTTTAAGTTGAAGCATAGTTGATTTATAATATCACATTAGTTTCAGGTATACAGCAAAGTGATTCATATGTATATATTCTTTTTCTGATTATTAAAAATAGAGCTTTTATTTAAACCTCAAATCCATGTTCTCGGAAAACAGCTTAGACATAAAAACCACAGAGAAATCTCAATAGAGGTTTTGAGTGTGCCTCAGTTCTTAAAGGATTTCAGCTTGATTGACAGTAACTCCTGATAATGCTAATGCCACTTCAAAGTTTATGGATTTCTTTTTCCTCCAGAAGATGTGCCACTAGAATTACTTTCACACTTCTCTGCTATGAATAGAGTGCTCTCATAAAATAGAATCAGGAAAGAGAAAAAAAGAAAGTGATTTTCCTGAGATAAATGAAGAAGACAGACAAGGGAGGCAAGATAACAAGATGCATGTGCACCGCTAAGGCAGGCTGCTTAAAGCAGAACTATTTGCACTTTGGCATGGTTAGAGGAAGAGGGGGATGGGAAGAGCTCAAATTCTGGATAATCCTCCCGATGACTAGAGAGTGAGGAAGAGTTTGATGGTGATACCAGTGTCCTCAACTCCAAAAATGTGGATTAAGACCACCATCCGAAAGTGTAGTAAGCTCTTAGCTCAGGACTGGCATGCAACAGATCAGAAAATATGGTTTCACATCTTTCTTTCCAGAAGGAAGAATTAATTTAGTTAGCAAAAGCATTCTACTTTGGTAATAAGAATATAAACAGGTTCCATATGGCATTGATATTTCACTACTTTTAAGATAAAAATACTATTAGACTGATTTGTATGTGTATATTTTAGGAGTCTGAAATAAATCACAACATATACTGCTTATTGCTTTTGTTGTTAACATTCATTCAACAAATATGTGAGGGTATACTCTGTACTAGGCCCTGTTCTGTGTGTTAGGGACACAGCAGTGAACAAAACCAAATCCTGGACCTCCTGGGGCTGCCATTCTAGTTTGGAAGACAGGAGATAAATGCATAGATAAGATACACCCTATGTGAGGTCATAAGTGCTTTGGATACGAGCGACGCAGACAAGGTGCAAGTGAGATCAGGGATGAGCAATGGGGCCGTGAAGGAAACACAGAACTGAGCCGTGCTCTGCATCTACGTTGGGGAAGAGATCTAGGCAGAGGGGCCAGCATGAGCAAAGGCCTGGAGGCAGGAGGACATCTGGCTGAGGAATACCAAGGAGGCTGGTATGACTGACATGATGGAGAAGAGCAGGGAGGGCCCGGGACAGAACGGTGTGTGTGCGTATGTATGTAGTTAGGTCATGGTACCCAGTTACAAACACCAGTCCAGATCTTGCTGTGAAGGTATTTTTTAAATAATACATGATTAGAATTTAATCACTGGACTTTGCGTGAAGCAGTGGGTGGGCCTCATCCAACCTGTTGAAGGATGAAGAGAAACAGAGCAAGGTCCCCGGAGGAAGAAAAAACTTTGCTTCCAGACACCTTCAGACTCCAGCTGCAACATCAGCTCTTCCTGTGTCTCCAGCACGCTGGCCAGTCCAGCAGATTTTGGTCTTGCCAGTCCCCAACAATCAAGCAAACTGATTCTTTAAAATAAATTTATTTCCATATAGAGACATATATCCTAGTGGTTGTTTTTTGTTTTTGAGAACTCTAATATAGCGGACATTTTCTGGGAGGCTGTTCTTGAAAGGATATAAGGGATGGATTCCAGGGCACAAGTGGATGCGACGGCCTTGGTCAGGAGTATGGACAAGCTTGTTCACCCTAATAGCGGGAAGAGGGGTAAACGGGCACAGACCCGGGGAGATGCGGAAATGAAGCATGCAGGGCTTCTCTTTGCATTTCTTCTATTTTCTCAGAAGCAAGGTGATCATTAAAGAGTCAGAAAAGGGAAAGGTAGTATCACAAGTTTCAAGAGAGAAGAAACGACAGTCATCCAGGGACATGGAAGGGGATCAGTTGAAGTGGGTGATGGTCTCCAAACTTGCTGCACATTAGAATTAATGGAGAAACCTTGAAAAACCCCAAGGCCCAGTACAATTAAATCATAATGTGGGGGGCTGGGAGCAAGGCATCCCTGATTTTAAATGTTCCACCAGTTAGTATTTCACGCAGCCAGGTCTTAGAAAACACAATTGAACGTTCACTTTAGTTTGCTGCTGCTGCTAAGTTTAGTGGTTATGAATTCAAAGTGAGACCAGTCAGCATGGCATGCATCTTTCTCGAGTTGTCTTCAGCATCCACAGAGTAGGTGGAAAGTTAGTTTAACAACAAATGGGAATTTTCTAGATGAATTCAGTGGAGGGAGGGGGCAAAGGAATTCAGAGCAGAAGATGCTCTGGGATGCAAGGGACAGATTTATAATTACGGATCATGTAATCTAAGCTGCTTAAGAGAAGTGAGAAGATGGAGGTGACGTGAATCAAGAAACAGTGGTAGACTATAAATCCTGGTGGGTGAGTATTATGGGAGTTTGAGTCTTAAAGGGAATGAGCTGAAAAGATAAGAATCAGTGGTTGGAGCATGGGATGTTTTCAGCTGAGACTTTGGAGATACACAGTCACTGGCAATGACAGGATCCATGGTAAGACTAGATGTGGGGCAGATGAAAAGCACATCGGAAGAAAGGAAGATCAGAACTGAGAGACACTGGAGATGGAAGAGTCTACAGACAGATAGTAAAACTGCCAGTAACTATAACAGAAATAGTATTGGAGAGATTAACAACAAAGCGGGAGTCAAAAGCATCAGAGAATGAAGTGAAATGAACTAGAGAGTCTGTAGAGGTTACATATAAGCAGAGAACTAAGAAGTTAAACTGTCAATCACATAAATACATCATGATACTTCTTCAAGTGGAATAATTTAATATTGGGTTGGCTAAAAAATTCATTTGTGTTTTTCCATACCATCATACAGGAAAACCTGAATGAATGTTTTGGCCAACCCAATAATAAGCTAGAAAAGTAATGGCTGGAAATAGGATCATCAATAAGGGCTCTGCATATGGCGCTTTCTCAGGGGCTCAGAAGGTAAAGAATCTGCCGGCAAAGCAGGAGACGCAAGTTTGGCCCTTGGGTTAGGAAGATTCCCTGGAGAAAGAAATGGTTACCCACTCCAGTATTCTTGCCTGCAGAATCCCATGGACAGGGGAGCCTGGTGGGCTATAGCCCATGGGGTCACAAAAGAATCGAACACAGCTTAGTGACTAAACAACAAAAACACTGCATGTAGCGAAAGAATTGATCAAATTAAGAATTTTGAGAGCTGATGCTTATTCTAGACTATCTGGTGGACCCTAAAGGGAGTCACACGAAACTTATGAGAAGGGCACAAGCAGTTTTGAGATCGAAACCTGGAGGAAAAGACACAGAGATGAGGGAAAGGTGATGTAACAACAGAGGGAGAGACTGGAATGATGGGGCTACAAGCCAAAGAATGAAGAGACACGAACAGGCTCACTCATGGAGCTTCTGGAGGGAGCACAGCCCTGCCTACACACTGACTTCAGACCTACCACCTCCAGAACTCAGACAAGAAACCTCTGTTGCTTTAAGCTACCGAGTTTATGGTACTTGGCTACAGCAACCACAGAAAATGCACAGACCATACTCGACCAAGACTCCAGCCAAGCCTCTAGCTGACCCCTCATGCAGAAAGCAAGCCAAAATCAGTCACATCCAGCCCAGATTAGCAAGCCTGCCCAGACTCATGAGCATGAATAAATAGTGCTTGTGAGCTACTAAGTTTTCTGATGATTTGTTAATACAAAAGTTAAGTTACAAAAACATAAAATATAAACATAGTACCTCTTAGTGCTCTTTAGTCTCTTTCTGACTCTTGTTTATAAAACCACTTCAAAGATGAAAGTTAACTGTACACAATTTCATTCTTACTCCAAAGGAGTTTACAGCCCTGCTCAGAGCCATAAGCGTTCCAATTTCTGAGGCAAATATTTACATCCCTCCACCATTGACACCAGGCTGTGATATATGACTTGCTTCAGCCAAGGACAGGTGAGTGATTTTGACATGTGTTACATCTGACTGGAAGCTTTAAGAGCTACTGCACCTTTTAAACAGTTTTCCCCCTTTTCTCCCGTTGTCAAAATGTTACATGTCCCCAGGAGGGATGCCCCTTCACTCTGGATTCTGGAGTGATAAGGGCATACGGAGCAGAATCTAAAATCAAACTGCAGCTAATGCAGCTTACAGGTAACCTAGGTGATAAATAAATCTTTGTGGATGTAAGCCAAATTGAGGGCTGTTTATTATGCAGACTAAACCTAATAAAGCTGACTGATACAGTTACTAAAGAGTACTCCTCTAAAGAAAATCACTTCTGTGGAGGAGAGTAAGTTGTAGCTCTAATTTTATATAAAGCAGTTTTTAAAAATATGTAAAATACTTTGTACTCTCACTCCTATGGATATCCTGAAAGGATCTTTTAGTTTCTGAAAACAGCATTTTTATATAGAATATATCCTTACTACAAATGAATCATTAAGTATCAATAAATACTGCTGATGTACACGAGAATAAACATCAATGGGTGCTGCCAAGATTACATGATACCAGAGAAGTCCCCACAGGCTGCCTCTCTCAGGGAGACCTCGGGTACAGCATGGCGCCCCCTCCCCACCCCGTACATACACAGAGGGAAGCGAGCCTCGTCCATGTGATGGCACTGTGCTCGGACGATAAAGGACAGGGTAAACACTGACAAGCTGAAGGGTTTCTGAGAGCACACAGTGAAGAGTGGGTTCTTCACAGAGATGGAGAGCAGAGCACTTACGGGGCTGGGGACGGAGTCGGGATCCAGCTTCTTCTGGGGCTGCGGCGGGCCGGCCATCTGTGCAGGCCCTCCCGGGAAGCCTCCCGGGTAGGAGAGCTGGGCCCCTGCCACCGGGGGCCCGTAGTTGGCTGAAAAAGAAGTGACCGTAAGCCCAAAACGCAGACGCAGAGCTCACTGGCAGTATTAGGCTGTTCAGTCGAGCATGCTGCATTTTTCATATTAAATAAGGCAGGGAATTAAAAGCAAGTATCTAAAGTTCCCCTTGTCTGTTTACTTGTCACACTATTCAAAAACAGTAAGGGATAGATGTCCAGTACCATCGGAACAAACCTGATTCCCAATTACGGGTACCCCCAGGTAACCCAAGGCGACTTTACCCTGCTGTGCCGGATATCCAGGGCCCAGGGTCTGTCCTGGGAGAGGCGCGGGCTGGTACTGGGCGTTCGGAGGAGCAGGCCCAGGGAGCCCATCTGGTCTGTGCGTTGGTGGAGGCAAGGGTGAGGCCCCGGGACCGTTTAGTGCAGTGGGCGGCGGGGGGAGAACCTGAGATCCAGGCTGCAGGATGGACGGCTGTGAAGGCTGTGGAGGACCCTGGACTGACGCTGCTGATGCAGGGCCAGGCGGGCCCTGGCTGGGGGGAGCCGCCCCTGAACCTAGGCAGAAACAGAAGATCGGCCCACGTGAACACCACACTCCACAACTCTCTCACTTCCACCTCATATATACGACAGGGACGCTTCTCCTCCCCAGTAAAGCAAGAAGGCGCCCTTATACAAGTCACTTTTTTCCCCCACAAGAAGAAATCATCACTTGGAAAGTAACACAAATCCTATTTGGGGTATTTTATACAAGTGAAGAATTTTTAAAGAGCTACATTTATAATGATAGAAAATTAGAGGGATAAAATTTTAACCCAGTTACATCTACTTTTCATGATACATGGCATTAATTATCATGAAAAGTGGACGGGAAGCCTGGTGCGCCGCAGTCCATGGGGTCACAAACAGTTGGACATGACTTAGCAACTGAACTTTGTCTGATACAGAGTATAGAAAATCATACAGAAGAAAAACATTTTTTACATAACAGGCATTATTCACTCAGATCAATAAATTATTTACATCCTGTGCTTGACTTGATAGAATGGACTTTGGAAGTAGGAAGAAATAACGAAGGAGAAGGGACTAGCAACTAAAATTCTATCCAGTCATATTCGAAATTATAGAACCAGATTACTTTTTCCTTTCTCTGATTATGTGAAACTGAGTTGCTGCTTTGAAGACTTACCTATTTTGAAATCAGTAAAAGGAAATATTCTGAGGGCAGTTTCACTGATACTTTTAAGAAACTAACCATAAAGAAAACATTTGTCATCAAGATCAATGCTGACCTTGCAGTTGTTACAGTGAACATTTCCATGGCTCCTAAAATAACCAGCATTTCTATTGATGTACATCTCAGTATTGTAACTGTCTTCTCTCCTATTATTCTGTTCTGCCTCACAACATCTGAGCTTCCATTCCTCACATGACCTAACTGCAGAATTTAAAATGGACTATGAAACAGAGTATTACATTTTTTATTTGTGGGCCTCATAATAAACACAGGGTTAAAACTTACATTTCTTAAAGGACTTTCACTGTTCTAATGTTGATTTGTGAAGTGTTTTTTTTTTTTTTTAATTGGTCTAGTGTTGAATGTAAGGCATTCTGTGGATCCTTCACTTACGTTGAAATAAATGGCAGCATGATTTGGAAAAAAAAAATACTGCCATACATAATACAGATAATTTATATGAAAATATCTAAAACTAGTTCAATATGGTACACCAGAGATATGTCTATTTTGAATCTAAGGAAAAAGTTTCTTACTAAAAATACTCATGAGACAAGGCAGTCAATACGCATGAAAAATGAAACTGTTACCGTAGCTGTTAATGTGCATGGCACCGAGCTGACTGCCCAGCTGGGCCATGGACGCAGAGGACCCTGGACTTGGATACGACGACTGTGTTGAGGGCGAGTATGGTGGGTAGGAAGGGGCCGCACTGCTGACAGGTGGAGGGCCAGGGAATCTGAGGGAGAAAGGGGGTGTTAATGTCATATGCAAATGACGTACAACAACTGGCAAAGTTAAATCAGCCCTTCTAGTGGGCACTGGGAAAACGACTCATATTATATGATACACCTTTAACCTCAACGTGAGCTCAAAATCAGTCGTGTAGCACCATCCCATATTTATGCTCACATGCTAAAGACATCAAGACACTTAGCCAAAAAAAAAAAAAATCTAATGATAATCACTTAACAAATTGTGGAAATCAATTTAGGAAGCTGAGTCCATTAGAAATCATCTATACTGGGCTAATGATCAATAGGACAGAAATCAAGAAAACTAAAATGCTTTGCTGACTGTATCTTTATGATCACTTAGAACTGAGTTTTTGAGAACTGTGTTAAAGATATGCTTTGTAAATCCTTGCTTCATAAAAAGAAATCATTTCATTTCTTTCAAAAAATTATGCCCTTTGTCTTTTTCTTAAAACTCATTCATGGGGTTTTGTAGATACATGAAACACTTGCACTCAGGCAGAATGTACAGAATGTATTAGCGGCTGTAGTGTGAGGTACAGTAAGAGGGTTTGGGCCAACCAGAGAAGGCGGGTAGTAGTATTCACTCTTTTGAGAAAAAACATTTCCCCAACATGTTCAGAAATATTTCATAGATGTTAACAATATTTTTCAAATATAAAAATCCTGTGAATCATTTTTAAAGAGATAAGTACAGACAGGATTGTTTCAAATAGAAGCAGGACAAGCACCCTCAAGTATTTTTTAACAAAAGTTAAAGATTTAAAATACAGAATGAGAGACCGAACAACCATTAGCTATTACTTTTTGACCCATAAATGCCAATTTGTTATTCATTGCCTAATACATATCCTAGGAGTTAGGCATCAGAAATTCACAAATTATTTTTCTGATCAACCTAACTCTTAAACAGATTAGATTTTTTAAATTAATGAATTTTAACTGGAGAATGATTACAATATTGTGGTGGTTTTTGCCATATGTCAACATGAATCAGTCAAGCAATATTATCAACTTAAAAGTAAAAATAAAATAGTATTGAAAGGATAGCTTTTATTAAATAACTTTTTAATAAAAATATTTTTAAAAGCTCTGACATACATATGAAAAGATTAACAAAACATCTTAAACATACAAAATGGTTTAATATTTTTCAAGTTTCATTACTTTCCTAAATTAGTTTATTCAAGGCCATGTGGATCTCAGAGCTTTGGTGAGAATCCAGGCCTCTGATTCCTAACCTAAAGGCTTGCTGTGTGAGCTGGGAGAAGCCACGTAATTCCTTGCAGCTCTCAGTTTTCAATCCATAAAAATGAAACGATCCTTTCCCTGCTCTAAATATAATGTGGTTAGAATTAAAAATCATACAGATTTAAGTATTTCTCACTGATTACTCCATTTAGCATGTTTCTTGGTTAAGAAACAATTATTATTTTTTTTTTGCAAAAATGAATTCTATTTCTATATACTAGCAATAAACAATGAGGAAGTGAAAGTTTAAAACACACCATTTATAATACCATTGAAAAACATACAACATTGGGAATGAATCTAACAAAATAAGTGCAAAACCTCTATACTAGAAGATATAAATTATTGCTAAGAGAAATTAAAGTAGACTTAAATAGAGGAATATACTTGTTTATGAATCAAAAGATTCAGTTATTACGGTATCAATCCTTTTCAAGTTAAATCTATAAATTTAGCACAATTATAATGAAAATTAGAATAGATAAGCTCCAATTACTTATTTTAATTAACTGTTTCATTGAATGTCAGGAGAGGTAATCAAAAAGAACCATAAAGGATTATAACCTGAGGATTAATAAAATATCAGAAGTGAGCCTCGGTTTCACCCTAAACCTCTCAAGAGGTGACTCAGCTGTCTGTGGTCTGCTCAACCTCAAACACTTTTCATCTTCAAGTTAACAACAAATTGCCTAAGAAGTGAGTGACATGCTGAAGTTTGTTAGAATCTGGAGGTAAGGTACCAAATTTTTCAAGATTAGATGGATACAAAATCTAGATTTTTAAATACTGAGCCCACTGAATAAAATAAAAGCTCTGCCAAATTGTCATTGCTTTACACATACACACAAAAAAGAAAAAAAAAAAACAACTATGTGTTTTTCTTATTTTTCTTGTTTTCTACTTTTCCATTGAAATCAATTTCTTGGTAGATTCACCCTAATAATAGCTTCAATTTGGGAAGACGAGTCTCCTTCCCACCTTCCCTTTCATGTAATTTCCCATTTCTTGGGTCAAAACAGAACACTTACAATTAAATTTTCCCTTAATGATTAAAAAATGGAACTTTAGGTTATAGATTTTGTATAAGAAATTAATCCCACCCAGCAGTAACACGCTGTAGATAACTTTAGTACCGTTTACAATTTTAAGACATTTATTCTGCCTCAGCCAATCAAAAAGCCAAATGACTAGGTATGATTTTTAAGTTTTAGGAAACTGTGAAATAGCAATATTTAAAAATAAAAATTATGATTTTAAAATTTAAATCAGCATAATGGCTCTGAATTGATCATGTTTTTATTCAACAGTTTAGATACGGCAAAAACAAAAAAATGAAAAGACTTCTAGGATGGGTCCTCTCGAGACAGATGACTCCTTGAAGTGCTGTAATCATCACAAAAAGGCCACGGATGACCTGTGCTCTCTGACAAGTCCTGTCCTCAGACTGGAATGACTCACCAGCACAGTCACGGGGCCCTTTGCCCCGCATGGAACTGCGGACTCAGAAATGCGTCCAGGAGGCTAGGGAGTCTCACCGCAGAGGCTTAGCCCGAACACTAGACCTCTCCATTTTTTTTAACTTTTTAGTTTGTGTTAGGGTATAGCTAACAAAGTTGTGACAGTTTCCGGTGAACAGCAAGGGGACTCAGCCATACATACACACGTATCCCTTCTCCCTCACACCACTCCCCATCCAGGCTGCCACAGAACCCTGAGCAGAGCTCCCTGCGGTATACATACAGTAGGTCCTTCTTCGGTTATCCATGCACAGCAGTGCGTACATGTCAACCCCAAACTCCCTAACTATCCCTTACCCCATCCTTTCCCACCGTCAACCATAAATTCAGTCTCTATAGCTCCTTTTCCAGCCTTTAATTCAGTGTAAGCTGAAGCAACGGAACAGTACAGGAGGAGAAAGAGATGGGGCAAAATCCATCAGTGTCTCCCTAGTAATCACAACACAGGCAGATTCCTCAACTGAGCCATGACAGGCAGCTACCCTGAGCTAGCAGGCAGGGCAAGCAACAGACCAGAGACTCTCCAAATCCCGTGGAGTGGGTGTTGATAACGGCTAATGTACATTGCCTTTCATGGGCGCTGTGCACTATGTGAGGTTCTCTGCACGGACTAATGACCAAAATCCTCACCAGCACATCTTTACTGTTACACCTGTGATGAGGAAACAAAGGCTCGCAGAGGCGGAGTAAATTGTCCAGCCAGAACTGCCTGAGCCACGAGGATCACACACGCCCAACCTTAGTCTCTGCTACTCATCACTGGCAGATGCCGTGCTGAGCGCACAGTCACACAACCACGATGCGACTGATGGCCAAGTCCGTGATCACCTGGGCTTCCCCAGTGGCTCAGAGGAGACCCAGGCCCAACCCCTGGGTCGGAAAGATCCCCTGGCGAGGAGAACGGCAACCCACTCCAGTGTTCTTGCCTGGAGAATTCCATGGACAGAGGAGCCTGGGGGCTATAGTCCACAGGGCTGCAAAGTGTCGGACACGACCGAGTGACTAACACACACACGTAACCTAATTCAAGAAAACAAGTGGAAATAACCAAAAAGTTCAAAGCAATCTAGGCTATTTCTAGTGACGCAAAATTTAACTTCAAATTGGCTGTTCTATTTTTGCATTTCTTTAAAAAAATAATCTGACCTGCTTGACAGTTCACAACAATGTACTTCTCTAGAACTTCTCCCCTCTGTTCAGGACTGAGAATTCTATTTCCTCATTGTACAAGTGAGGAAAAGGAGATCTAAAGGCCTAGGAATGTCTCCAGCATCACAAGGCTAATGAACCAGAGGTAGCATCTGGGTTCAACCTTTGTGTCCTCCCCTCAGACCTCACTGCTACATTATTGAGACTGGGGGCCGGAGGGGCATGTCCTGAATTGGGGCCTTGGACTTCTTGCTCCTTGTTCAAAGCACAATCCCATGGAAACCATGTTACTTAGACTCACTCATCCAGTGATCCCTACAATAACCTTCACTGCATCTCAGAGCTACCATTTCAATGGAAAATGTTATCAGAACAAGAACCAGGAGATGATGGCCTCATGAATGCCCTGTCAGTGATGATTTAAAATGTGCCAGAGGGAGTTTCCCCATCAACAGGGACTAGGTCTCCTTGAAAGGGTAACCCAAGGACCTCACCATCAGCAGGGTCCAGAGTCCTCCAGATGGCCTACTTCCCCCCCAGCCCCAACCCTGCAGCCTGACACCTAGGAAGGAACCTGGGAAACAAAGCCTCTGGGTAATCCCTGGACAAATTCCAACGTGAACACTGTCTGCCACTCAGCACGGGGATTCTCCACAGCAACACCTCCCAGGACACACGACTCCAGCCAGGAAGGTGTGAGGTGGGTTCCCCCCAGGGCACAGTCCTGAGGGGTTGCAGGGCTCCCAGCGCATCCCGCATCTCACACCTTGGCTTCTCCAGGCCCGCCTCCCACTTCTCCTTTCCTTAATTTATAAACACAAACGGACTGATTTCTTGGGTTGTCTTTAGTATCCCCCCGCCTTTCGAGAGTCCTGCACTGGCATCCGTGTGCCTTCCACATCAAATCCACAGTCTTCACCACTGGCAGCAATCTGATTTAATTTTTTAAGTATTTATTCAGCACCTACTGGCACTGAACTCAGTTCTGTAAAGGACTTAAGAGAACAGATGATTTAAAGTTTCACTGGAGAATATAAACCACAGACATCTGGAGGAATTAGAGATTAACACAAAACACTGAGATGAACATGGGCTTCCCTGGTGGCTCAGTGCTACAGAACCGACCTGCCAATGCAGGTGACGTGGGTTCGATCCCTGGATTGGGAAGATCCCCTGGAGAAGGAAATGGAAATCCACTCCAGTATTCTCACCTGAGAAATCCCATGGACTGAGGAGACTGGCAGATAGAGTCCATGGGGTTGCAGAGTTGGGCACAATTTAGCAACTGAGCATGCATACACAGAAGATGAATATAACTCCAAACTAAAAGCTACTGACACAAGTAATTTTCATTATTTTTTTTAACAGTATTGGTACTTTATTTATTAGTACTGGTATTTCATTTGTAAACACTTTGTTTCCTGACAGTTTACCAGTAGATCCTTTCGAGGCATCAAGAGGTCAAAGTTTCCATCGACAAACCTGCACGTGCAGAAGGGACCCATGAGATGATTTCGGTAGATTACACAGATGGGGGTTGGACTGCAGCTCACCTTTGTGGAGGAGGACCTTGTGCATGAGCTCCGTTCTGGCCAAACTGGTGGGGTCCAGGAGGCGGATGGCCCTGAGCCAACATCCCCCCAGGGGGAGCTGCCCCCAGAGGCCCCGCTGGCTTTATCATGCCTGCAAGGGAAGGACAGGAGCTCAGAAGAGGGTGAACGTGCAGGGAGACAGGACACGGAGGTTACAGGTCAAAAGTGGAAAACGAGGGGCGGAGGGGAAGAATGGGTGAGAACAGGGTCTCCTCCACACCTGCTTTCACCAGCACAGACTCACCCACACCAGGCTGCAGCATCCCTGTCTGACCGCCACAGTGACAGGAGCGCAGGCATCACTTTGACGCTAACCAGAAACTAAGACAGAAGCAAATCTTTGTGGCTGGTAGAGAGGCACCCGGACAGAAACACGCTGTCAGATAAAGACTGCTAGAGTACACACTGCAACAGGCCCGCTGGGGATCAGACTACAAGTCTGGGGAGGCAAGAGTACGGGCGTCACAGAGCACAGTAATTCTAACTACAGGAGGAAGGACCTCTGAAAATGCCCGGGTTATAGCATGAGGAAAGCGCATGGAGAACAGCATCTGCTCCTCCCAGGATCCAGGGCACGGACCTCAGAGCTGGTAATTTTTCCAGGATTCCACGGGCTGGCTGATAAACAGCTGAGGGGCTGCTCACGCCACCCCAGCTTCTCACACAAACTACGAGACCACACGTGATGGGGATGCTCCCAGCAGTGCCTGTTTTAATTTACAAGCACCTCTTCCGCAACGGAGATCTTTAAAAGTTTCTCTTTAAAACTGTTCTCAAACATTTTTTCTCTCCTTCTTCTAAAGAAATGGTGGGACAGGAGACAAATCACTGAGCTTGGATTAGAGCAGTGTGATGCCCCATCCAGCCATGCTGGGCAAGAAGTTTATCTCCGTGGGCCTCAGTTTCCCCTCACTGCAGAAGGAAAGGTTCAGACTTGATTACTTGTGACACCCCTTTCAGACTTCAAAAAAAGAGAGAGAAAGTACATTTCTTCTATGTGTTGTCCCTACTTCCATTCTGCTTGTTTTTGCAGACCTTTCAACGTTTTTTCTTCTAATTTTTATTGGAGTATAGTCTGTTTACTATGTTGTGGTAGTTTCAACAGCACAGCAAAGTGAATTGGTTACTATACATACACCCACTCTTTTTTTAGATACTTTCCCCATTAGACCATTACAGAATATTGCTATATTCTGTAAGAGTGCTACAGAGTAGACCCTTATATTAGTCGCCTATTTTCTATATGTAGAGTATGCATGTTAGTCCCAGTCTCCCAGCTTATCCCGCCCCTGCCCCTGGTAACCACAGGTTTGCCTTCCCCCACTCGCTTCACTTTGACCCCATTTTCCTCTCTGGCACCATCACCAGTGACCTCCTGGCTGCCCTGGGCTACTTCTTCCATTTGACCGCACGACAGTATCTCATACTCAACGTTTCCTTTCTTCTTTCATCTTCTGAGAAAGCTTATTCCCTTAGAGAGTAAGGAAAGTGACTGAATGACCCTACAGTGGCCCAGGAAGAATTTCTTATGCAGTCATCACAACCCTGTGAAGGGCATGCTCTCAGATGCCTGGGTAATCCAGAATGAAACACGGCCAGTGAAGTAGCAGTATTCATGAATAATATTAGTGAGAATTATACAAAGGTTTCTTTTCTTAAAACTGAATTCCTCAAACTTAAGAAAAAGTTTATATTAACTTTATCATCACAGTTTATTTAGCCATTTTCCATATACCAAGAACAAAAACAACAAATATTATTCTTATTTTTACATACAGTTTATACCTCAAATCCAACAGAGTTAGAAAAACAGGAGACTTACAGCCACACAGACCAGAGCCTGCATTCTTCCTGTATCACTAAACACCTGTGACCCTAAAAAGATCCTTTTTTCTTTCAGAACCTAAACTTTTAACACTGTACCATGGCAACAGTGTCCCCTGTCTCTGTGGATCATTCTGATAATTAAACTAGGTAACGGGCATAGGAGCATCCAGAACAATGCCAGATAAATAAAGGGAATCTCCCAAGAAATCTTAGTTTCCTCACCCTGGTCATACCTTTGCTCCCTTTTTTTTCAAGGATTTATCAATATATTCTAACAAGATATGTATATCATAATTATATGCACTCTTGTATTTTCATTCTTAAAACATTATTTTGGACAAAAATAGAAAATCTACAATACTACGCTAATGCAATAATAATTAAAGGCACTACAAGAAACCAAAGATATTCTCATTGCTCAAATAGGTAAGCAAACAGCAGTTTCATGGCAACCCTCACACAGCATCAAACACTAGTTCTCAGAGCTATTCACACACTGGTATTTTCACGTGTACATGAGATGCATATATTTATAAACCTGTTTCTAAAAACCAAACCAAACCAAAAACAGTTCTTACACACTCAAGCAGAAATGTCTCACACAAATATTACTAAAAGATTCTTTCCCTTTTATTTTTGGAAATCAACTCGGTAGCAATGATTCAAATTCATTCTTGTTCAACATACACTCAATGTGCCTCTAAGGCCTTAGAGCTCTTAGGGAAGAGACAGCCGTGTAAACAATTACAGCGCCTGGGGACAAGAGTAAAATGCAGAGGAACGACCTGACACTTCCCATGGGAATCCAGAAAAGTTCAGAGAGGAAGGCCTGCTCAAGCTGAATTCTGAAGAATGGGCAGGAGCTCTTAGCACAGAGATAGGACAAGGGATTCTGAAGGACTGCTTGAGCTGAATTCTGAAGAACGGGCAGGAGCTCTTAGCACAGAGACAGGACAGGGGATTCCAGGCAGGAGGCAAAGCTTAAGTGAAGATCTGAGAGAGCGGGGTGTGATCAGGCAAAAGGTGAAGTGTCGGCAGACGGTGTGGGGAGTGGCCAGAGCAGAGGCTGTCCAGGTTGGCTGGGGTCAGACTACAAAGTCCTGGGGGCCATTTGGACTCTATTCTCAGGGCAAAGGAAACCAGTATCACTGTTATCTGCAAAGTCATAGTCTTTGGTCACATACCTGGCATTTTCATAAGTGATCAGAGACAAAGAGATATCAGGTTATGAGAATTTCAGTATGAGAATTTTAATAGGAAAGCAAAACCATACCATGAGAAAGATCTAACTATGCTTATGCTCTCTTGAGGAGGGTGAAAGAAGAGAGTGAAAAAGCTTGCTTAAGACTCAACATTCATAAAACTAAGATCAGGGGATCCGGTCCCATCACTTCATGGCAATTAGATGGAGAGAAAGTGGAAACAGTGACAGATTTTATTTTCCTGGACTCCAAAATCACTGCAGATGGTGACTGCAGCCTTGAAATTAAAAGATGTTTGCTCCTTGGAAGAAAAGCTATGATGAACCTAGGCAGCACATTAAAAAGCAGAGACATCACGTTGCCAAAAAAGGTCCGCCTAGTCAAAGTTATGGTTTTTCCAGCAGTCATGTATGGATGTGAGAGTTGGACCATAAAAAAAGCTGAGCACCAAAGAACTGATACTTTCAAATTGTGGAGAAGACTCTTGAGAGTTCCTTGGACAGCAAAGAGATGAAACCAGTCAATCCTAAAGGAAATTGGTCCTGAATATTCATTGGAAGGACTGATGCTGAAGCTGAAGCTCCAATAGTTTGCCTACCTGATGCAAAAAGCCAGCTCTCTGGAAAAGACCCTGATGCTGGAAAAGATGGAGGGCAAGAGGAGAAGGGGGCGGCAGAGGATTAGATGGTTAGATGGCATTGCTGACTAAATGGACATGAGTTTGAGCAAGCTCTGGGAGACAGTGAAGGACAGGGAAGCCTGACATGCTGCAGTCCATGGGGTCACAAAGAGTCAGACATGGCTGAGTGACTGAACAACAACAATGCCCAAAGAAAAATATCTAAAGTCATAAACTGGCCTTTAATGCAATGACATTTTTTACAGACTAGCTGACGCAATACCAAATCTAATTCCTTTCTGGCTTGCCTTTCCATGTGGTCCTGAGCTGGAAAGATGGAATCTCCATTTCTTAGACTCCCTTACAGACTGGGCTGCCATGTGCTCTAGTGATGGCTCCCGGGTAGGAAGGCAATGCTTACTGGATGTTGGCTCCATGACCGTAGAGTCGCCTGGTTCTCTGACTCTACTATTCTCTTAGCTTCCTGATACCCTTTTACAGATGTCTTTCTAGACTGATCTCTGACCAAAACAACAACGCAGAAAAGCGTATCTTGGATTTGGCCCTGGATCTGAAACCAAAATTAAAAACCATTTGAGAAAGGAAGAAGTTTATCTAAAATAAACAAACTCCCTACTATACGGGCAGAACCATAATGACTCATTTCTAAGGTGCTGTGGCTGATGCTATTCCTACAAGAGTTCACTATTTATTAGAAGCCTCACCACAACCCCTGGTTCCAGGACATCAACAGTTCCTGCTGTTCAGCTTCTAGACAAGTGGTCCTCCACCAAGGGTGATGCTGCTCCTGAAGGGACAGTTGGCAAGGTCTAAGACTTTCAGTTGCTATGGCTTGGGGCCAGGGGTGGGAGTAGAAGAGGGACCACTGCTATCTGATAATCACTAGAAGCCAAGGATGCTATTAGAGGCCCTAGGATGCACAGCACAGCCTCCCCCACAACAAAGAATTAGATGGCCCCAAATGTCAACAGTGCTGAGGACCCAAAACCGTGCTCCAGAAAGCAGTGTGCCCACTGATTCCCTCCTCACACTCTTTCCAATGTGGACTATAACTAAACAATACACGTGACCCTTCCCAGCTTAAGATGCCTCACTGCACCCTACTGTCCTGAGAGCCACGGTGAACCTCTTGCAGGTCCTCAAAGGTGCCACTTCTCCAACCCCAGGGACCTGCCTCCCTATTTAGCCGACCCTCACTCATCTTTCAGGTTCTTCCTTCCAGGAAGAGTCCCTTCATCCGTAAGCCTTGGTTAGGTGCGCCCGCTGTGAGCTTCCATTCCACCCTCTACTTCCTCAAAACGGTGTTTCCCCTGCATTGTCACTGTCCATTTTCTTAATGCACATCCCACTAGACAAGTCCGTATTATAAGGATGGAGCTTGGGTTCATTTTACTCAGTGCTGCCTCGCCACAGGTATTTTGCTCACCCAATAAACCTGCCACATGGTTACTGCCCAGCACTAGCATCATATAACAGGCACAAAGAACAGTGTGGTATGCAAGAAATAGAACCAAGACGGGGCACTGGCCAGATCCATGATAGAACAGACAGTTCAAGGAGCTACAGCCAAGTTCTCTGAGTCTGTCACCAAAAAAAAAAAAAAAGACTAGAAAAGAAGAAGGTATGTGATGACTGAAGACTAAGAGATCTAAGGTCATTCAGCACAGAGAAAGATAGGCTCAGGTAATTCAGTGACAGTTTTAAATCATTAAACAAATATACCACAATTTACAGAAAGGTATGTACACAGACAGAGTCTGATAGCCTGGTATCTGAGAACTGATAAGGACAAACAGGTTTAAGTTAAAGCATGAAGGATCTAATCCAACAAACGGTGTTTTACCACTGGTGAACACCTGAGTACTCTGCTGATGAACGCAGCAGCTGGTCGTTCACTCATTTCTTGAGTGAGCACTGTGTGAGGACCTTTTGAACTGTTCAGGCACATCTATTACACACCGTGTGGTAACTGGCAGCAAATCCACACAGGGCTTGGAGAACACAGGAGAAGAGGATCTAGCAATATGCTTGAGGAAGAACAGCAAGTGGTCAGAAATTTCAGCAAGACCCACAGGTGAACTGAGTCTGTAGGAGCAGGCTAGGGCACACGCTGTGGGGAAGGACGGGGTGGAGGCGCTGACCGGAGGCACAGACCAGCTTTATGCAGGTGCCAGAAAGGTGTGAAGCAGAAGAAAGTCAGAATCAGATTTCCAGGCTATAAAAGTCTCTCCAGCACAGACCACCTGACCTGCCTCCTGAGAAACCTAAATGCAGGTCAAGAAGCAACAGTTAGAACCAGACAAGGAACAACAGGCTGGTTCCAAATTAGGAAAGGAGTACTTCAAGGCTGTATATTGTCACCCTGCTTATTTAACTTACATGCAGAGTACATCATGAGAAACACAGGGCTGGATGAATCACCAGCTGGAATCTAGATTGCCAGGAGAAATATCAATAACCTCAGATATGCAGATGACACCACACTTATGGCAGAAGGGGAAGAGGAAATGAAGAGCTTCTTTACGAAAGTGAAAGAAGAGAGTGAAAAAGCTGGCTTAAAGCTCAACAATTAGAAAACTAAGATCATGACATCCAGGCTGATCACGGCAAATAGATAGGGAAACAGTGGAAACAGTGACAGACTTTATTTTGGGGGGCTCCAAAATCACTGCAGATGGTGACTGCAGCCATGAAATTAAAAGATGCTTGCTCCTTGGAAGAAAAGCTATGACCAACTTAGACAGCATATTAAAAAGCAGAGACATTACTTTGCCGACAAAGGTCCGCCTAGTCAAAGCTATGGTTTTTCCAGTAGCCATATATGGATGTGAGAGTTGGACCATAAAGAAAGCTGAGTGCCGAAGAATTGATGCTTTTGAACTGTGGTGTTGGAGAAGACTCTTGAGAGTCCCTTGGACTGCAAGAAAATCAAACCAGTCAATTATAAAGAAAACCAGTCTTGAACATGCGTTGGAAGCACTGATGTTGAAGTTGAAGCCCCAGTACTTTGGCCACCTGTGCGAAGAACTGACTCATTGGAAAAGACCCTGAAGCTGGGAAAGACTGAAGGCAGGAGGAGAAGGGGAAGACAGAGGACGAGATGGTTGGATGGCATCACCGACTCAATGGACATGAATGAGTTTGAACAAGCTCCAGGAGTTGGTGATGGACAGGGAATACTGGCGTGCTGCAGCCCATGGGTTCTCAAAGAGTTGGACATGATGAGTGACTGAATGAACGGAACACAGGACTGGACTGTTTGGAGAAAGGCTAGAGAGAGGATGTGGTTAGGAGACAACATTAGTCATCCAGGTGAGAGGTGATGGCTGGAGCAAGAATAGTGACTACTGGTAGAAAGGAGGAAGCAGGTAGAAAAGGTTTTCAATTACCCCCAAAAGAATCTGGATTATAGAAGGTAAAAGGAAGAGATTTTTTAAAACAGTGAAAAGTTCTACTTAGGCAGCTGAATGAATGATAGCTGCTCGGTGAGTATGGAATGCCAGAAAAAAACATGATTTATGAAAAAATATACTGAGTTATTTTGGACATGATGAGTTTGATATACCCATGTAAACAGGCTGACAACTGAAAATACAGATCTGGAGCTTAAGAAAGTCATCTGCGCTGGAGGAAAAGATCTGAGAGACCAGCCCTTCATATGGAATAACACAGTTAAGGGAAAAATCTACAGTGAGAGGGGAAGGGTGAAGTCAGAACAAAGAAGCAGAATCAGCACCACGTAAGGGTCATGTGGGGAAGTGGGAACCCCTGAGAGGAGCTGTCCAGAAAGCCACCAAGAAAACTAACGGAAGGACAGTGTCATTGAAACCAAAGCAGAAGAGTTCTGTACCAACAAAAGCAGTAAATGGTGTCAAATTCAAGAGCACAAGAGAGTGTCTACTGCCTTTGGTAACAAGAGGTCACTAGCAGCCCTAGTGTGAAGAAGGGGAAGGCTGGACGGGGCCCAGGCGATGGGGCAGAGAACACACCAAGCCGGGGAGAGCCGCGAGGCAAGGGTGGGTGAGAGGGAGCAGGCTGAGGACTTGTTTAAGAGATGGCTGCGAAGAGAAGGCGGAAAAGTGAGAACACTGAACGTTTCCCTTAGGTGTCTATTCAAGTTTGCTGCTGTTTTCTTGAGGGACCCCCGGTGTGAATCCTGGTTATACCACCAGCTCTGTACTTTGGATAAATCATGGTATTTCAGACATCCAGTTTTTTTAGCTGTCAAATAGGGCTAATAACCTACTGAACAGCATTGAATGATGGTTAAAGAAAATTATACACATAATTCTTTGAGGACCAGCTTATGATACATGGTAAGCAGTCAAAAAAAGAGTAATGCATAATTATCATTATATATAAATGCTGACGGGGAATGAACGACCAGACAGAAAAGAAACTGGAGAAAGATGGGTTAAATGGTTCCTACAGGACCCAGATCTAGAAATGTCATGGGGAGGACTGAACCTGGACAAGATGACGATGCCTCAGCTGGAGGTTTTTAAAACCTGGACTAAGTCAGAAGAGTGACTTCCCACAGGAAATTCAGTCTCACAGCATCTTCTGCAGCAACTGTGCATGGCTGCTACCATCAAGCCTTCCCAGAGGCTTTCCTCACCCCTGGCTGACTCTGCAGTCCACACAAGCTACCCAGCAAGGCCTGGATCCTATATCCCTGAGTCAGTCCTAGTAAACCTCCAGAGACACTCAATTATTTACACACAGCCCAGTTTACCCAAGGATTTGAGTGGATTCCTCAGAAGTCCCAAGAACTGCCTTTCACAAATATTTTTAGGGAATCTGGGGTCATCAGCACTGAAACAAGCTATTATTAGCCTCCCTGCTGACCCTGAAACTTGGCCCCTCAGGGCAGCCCCTTGAAAATGGGAGGTGATCTTACCAAGTCAGCTGCCATCAGAACAACAGGAGTCCCACTCCATGACTCCTCCCACCTCTGCTCCAAAAACCAAGATTCCTTGCTGGGTACCATATTTTAGGGCAACCAATATTATTCAATAATGACTTTACAGCAAGGCCATGTTTTTCTTATTATTATCATCACTGACTAAACTTCAGCATACAAATCTAATGAGATTTTTTCAATATCAGTTAGTATATGTATATATTTAACATACATATATTTAGTATATAGTGTCTATACATATACATATGCACATATATGTGTATGTGTATATAAGTTGTGGGGGTTTTAGTGTTTGTAATAACCTCACACTACCGGTTAATAGCAAGAGCAAGTCTAACAGTAAAAACAAGACACTCAGGAAGTGTCTTTGTTTTCATCTATATTTAAAAAATAAACTCCCCATGCAAAAACCAAAGTGATAAGGTAGGCTTTTCCAAATAATCCTATAAGCTCAAACCACTGCATCATCTATAATTACCATTCAACTCTTCCAAAGCTGCTCTTTCAGAATATCTGATGTCTCCGAGCTTGAGATTCAATAATCACACACGAGTCAAAATAACGCGCCTTACCTGGTGAAGAAGCTGCATGAGACGGGCCCCCATAGTGCCCATAATGCGGGGGAGAAAGGCCAATTCCAGGCTGGGGCTGAGAATAGGGAGGAGTAGCCACATAACCTTGCTGGCTCATTATGAAAATATCATTCCAAGGAACAGTTCTATAAAAGAACCCTGGAACAGAAGGAAAAAGAAAAAACATCAATGCGAGAGTTTGAGTCACTTAATATTATTAAAAACACTGTTAATAAATGTTTATGATAGTCTGAAGAAAGGTACAGTTATCAAGTGCATGAGACAGGTTCATATCAAACAATATCACTTTTCCCCTAAAACGGCTCTAACCACAGCTCTATGGAACTCAGTAACTCACTTCCATAGCCCTAGGCAAATGCACAGGCATTAAATCCTGAATAACAGCTGCCAATCCCTCTTTCATTGTAAGCCTAAACTGTGTCACAGAGACTCTGTCTCTCATAAATGTACCTACTATCTTCGTGCCTTTTGTTTCCATGGCCCTATTTCAGCATAGAGCATGTCACTGGCAATAATCACATGTCACTGACTGACCAGCAGGCTTGCCAGTAGCCTGCAATTGGATGTTTTGACTTGTGTCATTTTAGTGCTATCCTAATTAGTAAATTTAACCAGGCAGTTAGGATAAAAGGGGAAAAAAAGTCCAACAGGTATAGTAGAAAATAAATTGATAATGGACTGATTTTACGAGTCATATATTGAAGAAGTCAAGTGGCAACCTACAACTATTTGACAGCTGTCAGTGGTTTCTCGGGCAAAGATGACAGACTTTTCTTCTGATTTAAATACCACACCTCTAAGAATACATGCACATATATTTAAAAATGAAATACATTTAAACAATATATTTAAACAATTTAAACAAAAAGTCCAATTGCACATGTGTTTAAGCACACACACACAACTCACAAATACAATAGGTCCATCTTGATTCTACTCAGAACCAAAATATCAACATATTTTAAAGCTGGCATTTTCTCCAGGTTTCATAAAAGAAGAGACATTTCATAGAACTAGTCTTAAAAAGAAAAGTTAGAAAAAGCTCTGAATCCCAGCAAGAGAAGTGGGTTTACACTACACATCTGCTCATACTTAGCTGTGTGACACAGAATAAGTGGAAGAACCTCTCGGAGCGTTAGTTCTCTCTTACAAAATGAAGCTTCTAAAGCCTTTCCAGAAAAAAAAAAAAAACCCAACAATTCTACAATTTCTTTCCACTTTCTTCACCCAGCATTGGAATATTTTTGCTTTTGCTATTTTACGATGCTATCTTTTAAACTATAAGGTCAGTGAAACCGGCTAAGGTTTGAAACATATTCAGGAAACTGCATTCATTTGGTTTCAATTTCATGTTAAACTATACGATTCCAAAATGAAAGCAACTGAAGTAAAAATACTGTAAGATCACTTTATTCTCCTTGGAAGCGGAGATCTAAAAAAGAGGAGTGATAGGCCCCTGGGTCCACTGTGTGACTGAACACATCTCCCCTCCTCCCACTTAGCGGAGAGAGACGTGGCAGCCTGAGCTTGGGTCAAGCTCATCCAACCAAGCGCATTTAGGAAGTCAGCAGCAACACACCTACGCAGCAGCCTGTTGCTGAGTGACAGACGAAAGGCAGGGATGTTCGCTGCAAAGAGCAGGAAGCAGCCGGGTCCGTCTTCACTGGTCCTTGCAGTAATCTGCTTCCCCACTCAACCCAGCCTGCCACGTCAAACTTCCTCACACTGGAGCACCAAGTTACAGAAGCCTGACTCAGCTTCAAGCGGCAACATGGCAGAAAGCCACTTGGCACGAGCAGGCCGAGCCTCAAAATCTGGGATTCCAAGCCCAGGACAACCCCCCGCCCGCTGTCACTCGACCGTTCTCACCAGATGCACGTCTTAGCCCGGACCCAGCTGGGATTCGGACAAATCAGTTTCACTATCAGGCTGTCCCGAAGCTTAAAGATACATTTGCCATTATCACAAAATGAGTATTTCCAGCATTCCCTCCCTCCAAGGAAGGGGAAATTAAGTTGATACAGAGATAAGAAAACCGCGGGCAGTAACGCTGCAATACCGTGGCTACTGAGGGCCCTAACCAGGGAGTTTCAGCATCCCCAAACACAAAGATAGGGGCGCAGGGGCGGGTAAAAAATGCCCACGCCCACCGCCCCCCAGCCCCAGTATTAAACTACACGAAAGGGCTGAAGGAGCAAAGCAGGAGGTCTCCTCCGCTGCCCCGCCACGAGTGAGCATCCCGCCTCTCGCCACCGCCCCACCGCACCCCCAGCCTGGCACCGCACCCCGCCACAACTGTGTCCGGGGAAGGGTCCCGCCGCAGCGCAGCCAGGCTGGGCGCGGCATTACCTGCTCGGCGCCCGCCCGCCGCCGGGCTCTGCCCCCACTGCCGGCTGCCCGGTGATCCCGCTCCCGCGGCGGCCGCTGCTCCCGCCGCGCCTCGCCTCGCCTCGCGCCGGCGTCCCCGCAAGCTGGTCTCGCTCGCCGAGTTGCAGCCGGGCTGGAACTGCCACGTCAAAGCCTCTCCCGGCGGCGCGCCCCCGGCGCCGGGCTCCGGCCGGCGGCCGCGCTCCCGGCGGCGCGCGCGCACAGACGCGGCGGGGCGGGGCGGGGGCGGCTCCCGCCGCCCGGCGCGGCGCGCGCACTGGCTGCGCGTCCTCCTCTCTTTTCTCTTTTCTATCCTTCCTGTTCTGTATGTTGGTTCGTTTCCCTCCAGCAGGTCGAAGATATTAACGCTGTGGCTAAATTAGAGCCACATTTTCACCGTGGAATCCCGTAGGAAGGAGCGAGTTTGTATTGACGGTGCATTCATTCATTCAACAGGTTGCAGGATCAGCTGTTCATTCAGTACGTATTACCTGAGTCATAATAGTATTTACTAGTAACAAGGATGCTTATAATAATATTTACTAGGATATTTTGGGTACTGCACTGCCGACATGGGAAGATACACGCTTCGGGATCTCGAAGAGATTGCAGTCTAGAGGCGAATCTGGCACTTGTACAGAGACTGGATGACTCACTCCGCGTTGCACTCACTACAGAGGAAGGAACGCCCAAGGCAGCTGTCAACGCGGCGCAAAAACGGAGGAAAGGACGTCCCAGCTAAAAGTATGGGAAGAGGTGTCTTCACCAAAGCTAGGATTGCTAGATTTCTGTGTATTTCTTCAACGAATGTCTACATATTCGTTGTCTGTAAAGTAGGATGGCTGATTCCACCCCCAAAACAGAGATCGCTACATGTATAAGCACTCAGAGTTATGAGAGACATGAGAAAGGCAACCTATGTGAGACGTGGAACTTGACCTTTCTCTGTAACCTTAAAAATCAGTACCATCTGGCTGCTTTCTCACAACCCCCCACTGCTAAATAGGCCTTCAGCCAATCCAAGACTTGGTGTAGCTACCACTTTGCTCAAACTTAGAAAAGGACCACCAGACCAATGTTTTGTTTTCAATATACACTTTCTTCTGGGCAACAAGAAAGTGAAAGCAACTTGACAAATTCCTTTTACTGATGATATACTTAGGTAAAAACTTGCATGAGCATGATGCTTCTGCTGAAATGCTCCATGAGTTTGGCAGGCATTTTATGTTGTTCCAGCGTAGTGAAGACCAATGGTCCCTTTCCCCATTTTACTTTTGTGAGATGTTAAGGTGTGGTTAACCTGGCTGAACCTGCCTACATCCAGTTCAACACTGGTCAGGTTTGAAAAATCTACAATGAAAATTCTGTTTTACATTAGGTTTCTTATAGTCTCAATATGATGGAAATATCTGATGGAGTTTAGGAAGGTCTACCTAAGCTGAAGCAGTGCAATTTGTAAAAGCAATTAAAAAAAAAAGTTTTCATATGACAGCCATGTCACAATGTAGGAGAGAATAACTTGGAAATGGGAACACAGTGATAACTTGGTTAGCTTGCAGCTCCTGTAAAACCACAAAATTTGGATTTGTACATTTGATCTCTCCCCTTGCTCAGGGCACCAGAAACAATTTGTGGTTTCAGTTCTACAGTTTTGAATTCCTAACTATTTAAAGCTGGGAAGGATTTGAGAGAGATTGATATTCAACCAAATATTTAGTGAGGACTGAATTCAACCCAATCATTTTGTTGATTAATAAACTGAGGCTTGGGAAATGCAAATGACTTACTAATCTTAGAGTCAGTTGGAAGTCATGCCTTCTGATTCTAATCCCAAAGTTCTTTTCACCATATACTCTTCTTTTTGATATTACTCTGATGTACTATTCTCTATTAACTGGCTCTGCATTTTCCTCATGTTACTGCTTTATATCCAAACTTTCAAATGACTAAAAGAGTAATTAACCACACAAGTCCACCAGTGCCTGGAGTTACTGATCACAAATCTCTTTTTCCATGAGACCTGAGGGTCAGCCTGAATTCCCAGCCCTCCTGGGTTTCACTTGAGCTATTTTCACCTGAGATCAGGTCTGATGTTCCATATGTAATTAACTTGGTCACCCTGGTAACCATATCCTATTGAAAGGTAAAGTCACAGGGAACATCTGTGTGCTGGTGTTCTGTGTTCTTAAGGTCTTTCTGTTCTAAGTTTAAGGGGAAAAGAAGGAAGAGAGTCAGCTCTGCAAAAGACCATATAGAAAGAAGAAATTTCCTGACAACACTCAAGGTTCTGTCTGATAGGTGGCCTTTGGAAAGTTAGAATTATCATGCTCTAAGCATTTATGTCACTTAAGAAATTTGGAGATTTCTAATTCCAAAGTTACAATTTGAAGAAGCTTTGAATTTAAAAAAACTGAAATGGTCACGATCTGGACTTTGTTAAATACATGGAAGCATAGTCAATTAGGCCATGTTAAGTGGGGCTGGGGAAAGGGTACATGGTGGGCTAACAACCAATAATAGTAACAATAAAGTTCAGGTGTTCATCATGCCCCAACACCAAGGTGTTTCTGGAATTATTTTTTTTTAAATAACAGCTTTATTGAGCTATAATTGACTATTACCATAATTTCTACTGATACATTTGCCTCTGCTGGACCTTTCATATAAATGGAGTCATATAACATGTGGTCCTTTGTGACAATCGTTTTATAAGTTCATTCATGTTGTAGT